ACGCGCCCAGCACTAATTCCCAGCCCCGTCGCCTCAGGCACCGGCACGCAGGGCCGTGCGACTCTTCCTCGGGCCTCGCCCTCTCCCCCCGAGACCCACCGACAACACTTACGGGTCCCGCCGCCGCCGTAGCCGCCGTCGCCTCCAGTTAATAAAAATAACGCCGTCCTCTCCACAATGGAATTAAAAGCCTCCCCGGTACTGCGCAGCCGCGGCGCGGTGTCTGCTGGGAACTCCTCGACCCGGCCAGAGGGAGCTAAAAGAACTCAGGGCGCCTGCGCCGCAGTTTCCGCCCGGCCTGCCTGTCAATCACAGGGGCGGTTGGGCGGAGTTGGGGGGGGGTCCGGGGTCGATGGGGCGGGGATTGGGAGCCGTATTGAATTGGGGCTTCAGAGGAGAATAGATGTGATTGGTGGCCTGAACCCAAGGAGATGAAAATAGTTGAGGGTTTCTGGGGGAGAGCCGCTCAGGAGGTGTAACCCAGGGGGGCGGGAAGTGGGTCAGAGGAAGGGGGAAGACAGTATTGCAGCGTGGCGTGGGAGCTGCAGAGAAAGGGGTTAGAGGAGAAGACGAAGGAAACTGAGGACTGAACATTGGGGCTTTCTTCATTTTAGGGTTTGCAGTCCATGAGAACACAAACCCACAAGTGGATCATTTAGGGCACTTTTATTTCTGTTGAAAAACGTAAAAGTTAAAATGCCCACCATTGTAGATACTTATGTTGTCCTTTTTAGCTTAGAAACACTAATAGTGCGTATCTTTTGCATTTATAGGAGGAACTTACTTTGAAACCGCAAGAAAGGTACCGTTGCAAAAAAGAGAAAAAAAATTGTCATACTGCCAACCTACCTGAAGGCTACTGGAAAGGAAAACCGCGTGTGATCCAGGTGCAGTAGAGCTGTAAAACACGCCCACACACATACTTCATCTCATCAGATGCTATTTAAATGCCCACATACCTTCCCAGGCTGGCTGATGAGTCTTTTGTATTGTTGCCTACCCTCTTATATTGATAATGAAAAATTGACCACCAGGCCCTTCGAAGATCTCTACTTGAATCTGTTCTTTCCTGCACAGTATAGAACACCTAGAAACTCATGCAAAATTACAAATTTTTCTATTAAGGGAAAATTATAAAGTAAAACCTTGCAAAGTTACATCAACAAAACGAAACAATTATTTATTCAGTGCCTAAAACAGACAAGGTGCTGGTTTGCATATTAAGTGTTCAGAAATCTAAACCAACAACTTTCCTAAAGGTTTTTTTTTTTTTTGTACTGGGGATTGAACTCAGGTCCTCCTGCTTGCAAGGCAGGCGCTAGAACCACTAAGCTAAATCCCCTGCCCCCTCCTAAAGGTATTTATAAGTCACACACACACACACACACACACACACACACACAATCAGTAAATGAACAAGACTATGACAATAATTTATTTGCATAGTATATTTTAATGAAATCGCATGTTCATTTTCTCATACTATTTCTCTAAATAAATAATTTCTCATAATAACCCCTGAGAAATTTCACAATTGGAATCATTAAGATTATTTACTAGTATTTATAGGCCTCTGAGAGCCTGCCTGAAGAAGTTAACAGAAAATATTTATTGAGCATTTTAGAGATAAGAAAAATTGTAATTTTCTAACCTGATCTCACCATTTAAACTGAAAGTTTAATACTGTCAAGTATAGCTATGTATTAAAGACTGCAAATTCAAGACTTCAGGCAGTAGTAAAATATTAGTCAATGCCTATGAGAAATGAGACTGTCCCTTTATTCAGGGTGTCAGTGTTTAATAGTAAGCTGAGATGCATATAAGCTAGTCCAAGCATGAAGGGCAGTAGGGCACTCATATGAAAAGCCAACTTTGTTCCTCAGTTATCAAGATAAGAAACCTGTCATTTCTCTCATTCACTCTGTCAGCCTTGAGATACTCTAAGCAGACTTACCTCTGTGTTGTACACCCCATATATCAGGAAGATGAAGAGACCCTGTAAAATAAAATGGAGGGGAAAAGCTGTTAACGCTAATCATTTCAGCAGTAGAAATACCTGAAATAAACTTTCCTGGGAACAGACAAAAGAAGACACACTTCATCAAGGTCAATTTATTTTCCTATTTTTCAACATTAGAAGCTGTACCTTGAGCATTTATATGATAACATAGCAGCACATCACTTACAGTGGTTGTGCTATTCAGTTCTTTAGAAGTAGAAAATAAATACACCATCCTAAGTACATAGAATAGTAATTAGGAAAATCTGTATACTCATCTCTGAATGATACATAGCTGGATAATGAAAAATCAAACACGGAAAATGTCATCAAAGTAATCATAGAAATGGCACTAAGGATAAGGACTTGTATGCACTGTTTTAGACTGTAGCAAGTAGAATATATTGTTAATATCATGGGTGGGATAAAAATTGAAAAATAATTAAAGTATCAAATACAAAGGATGGCATATAAGTCAGTGCTTGCCCTAGCTTTGATCCTCAGAACCACAAAAGAAAAACAAAATACCAAACCTAAAACACTAAAAAGATAAATTTAAGTATGTATTATTATCTATGTGATTTCAGAAACTAAAACTATTACAGTACATGTATTTGTAAGAAAGATTAATGAAGAGTTTTAAACAATCAAAAAATTCTGGTTTTGTCCATAAGCTTTAAAAAGCTCAAATATACTCATTTTTTCCACTGTGTACATGAATACACATGATGTTCCAAAGCTTAATTCTGTCCTTCAAGTACACTTTGTCAAGATCTACACAGTGTAGTGAATTCAAGAAAAAAAAAATTATTTTCCTCTGATTCAGGAAAAAACTATGAGATAATTAACAGTCCCCCTTCCCTCAATAATTTCTAATTCCTTTTTTCTATCAGCATAAGCACTGCCAGACAAGCACTGTGCCACAGAGCCATACTCCTCAGGCCTTCTTAAAATTTTTATTTTGAGACAGGATTTCACTAAATTGCCCAGCAACTCAAATTTTCATTCTATATGTGAGATGAATAGGACTATTTTGCTTCTGAAATAGATGAGTAAATAAAATTTCCTGCACATTGGTCAGCATGCATTATTTTACATAAAATCTATATACTTTGAAAATCACAGAGCCTTTCAATAATAGATGTAATCATTATTATAATTTATATTCTTCGTGAGGTCAGCTTTTCTCTAAAGAAAGGGCAGTAAAAAATCACACTTTCCCTTGGGTATTAGTAAACGGAGGAAAATTGGAGTATTTCCCAGTATTTTTATTTACTGTACTTCCATGTTACCTGTTTTCTGTCTCTTTTTTTTTTTTTTTTTTTTTTTGGTACCAGGGATCAAAATCAGGACCTTGCGCTTGCCAGTCACGCAGGGTGCCACTGAGCTAAATCCTCAGCCCACCTCTTCTCTTTTAATGGTAACACATTTAATCTTCTAAAGTAACATAAAATGAAGAAAAATCTCCCTTTGGCAACGCATCCTTGTGTGTGCCTGTAATTCCAGCTACTCATGAGGCTATGGTCCGAGGACTGCAAGTTCAAAGCCAGCCTGAGCAATTAAGCAAGACCTTGTCTAAAAAAATAAAATTAGAAAGGAATGGGAACGTAGCTCAGTGGTAGAATACATGCCTAGCCTGTGGGAAGCCCTGTTATCAATACCCAACACCACACACACACACACACACACACACACACACACACACACAAACTCTTTTGAAAACCATATCTATATTGAAAAAAAGATTTTAGATACAGACAGTTTCAATCTCAAAAGATTTTTTCTTCAACATATGTATACTTAACAGGATGAGAAAGTCCTAAAAGAATAGTTCCTAAAGAACATGCAGAAGACTGAAACTTGAAATCTCCCCAAGGACTTTGTATCTCTTTCTCTTGGGGTGGCTACCTGATGTTCCCGCAACTACTTGAAAGGCAAAACATTGAACGCTAATTAATTGATTTAATTGGATGCCCCCCCACGGTGACATTTTCCCCCTATTGATGTTCGCAGCTACTGACAGTGGTAGTCATTCATTTAGATTTAATTCTGCAGGGCTTCACAAGTGCTTCAATCCAAAAAAAAAAAAAAAAAAAAAAAAAATCTCAGTTTTCTCTGTAGAAAGAATCAAAAGAGAAATAGCTAAACACAACCATCTTAAGTTATAACAATAAGCCACTTTTAAGTCTGCAGAGAGAATACCTTTAAAAACAGCTGGAAGGACCCCACTGCCAATCTTCAACGGGCACTGAGATTTCCAGAACTCTTTATGCCAGCACTCTGTCCTATTAAGGAGTGAATACTGAAAACATGCCATACTTCTGAAGTAAATGAGCCCACAAGTGATTTGGGTAGCGTCTGCGGTCACGGTCACATCTATACACATACTATACATGGTGTATTCATTAACAGATGTGCCAATTTCTTTAGCGTTTTTCTCAGAAAATAACAGTGGGCAGGAAGCATCCAACAAGTAACTGGATTCCTGTAAGCATGTGTGTACTTTACAAGCAATGGCCAGGACTAGGGAAAGAAACCAGAATGTTGCAACTAATACTGTATGGGAGTCAAAATTAGAAACTTAAGGGAAAGAGGAAAAAGTATTTCATTGTTTCATTTTCATGTATGGTATCTCTAAGACATTAAAAATGGGGCAACTTTGTAAAAATTTTCAGTGTTTTAGAAGTCCACTAAACATAGCTACAGATAGATTCAATGGCTGATGACATCTAGTCTTACTTTTTTTATTGATTGTTCCATACTTTTATGGTATACTTTGGGATTGTTACAAAATCAATCTTCCTTTAAGTGGTTATATGTTCTTTCTTGGCAATACAAAGAGCAGGAAAGGTGCCGTGATACATAGTACAGTGCCTACTCAAGAATGAGAATAATATTGCCGGGCATGGTATGCCTGCAATCCCAGCACTCGGGAGGCCGAGGCAGGAGGATCGCTGTGAGTTCGAGACCAGCCTGAGCTACACAGTGAGTTCCATGTCAGTCTCAAATACATAGTGAGACCCTGTCTCAAACCCCCCCACAAAAAAAGAATCAGAATAATATTAACAATGTTAGTAACAAGGAGCTCTTGCAAAGCACTTTCATTTACATAATTCCACTTGTTCCTCACCACAATGCTGCAAAGTAGGCAGCATGAATATTATTAGCTTTATTTTATACGAGAGGATTTTGAGTCTTCCTCAAAGTGTCACGGTGCTGACAAATTGGCAGAGCCAAGGATTAGTGTTTGGCTCCTCCTGGAATGCTCTTTCACACACCTGCCTTAAACAGACACCTTCCTAGCTCTTTAAGTCACTAGCTTCCAGATAATACAGTGGGTGAAGCCTTTCAAAACTCAGGTTTATTAAAAGCATATTGCAGTTTGATAAGCTCATAGGGTCAGGGACTTAGTGTCCGGTAATAGGATTTCAAAGAACTCTTTTCCTCTGCCAATTTCGGGGCCTAGCAAGCACAACAGGAAATGCGCTCCATAACAATGATTCTCAGGAATTGTGGGCCAGGATCTGTCTTTTGTTCTTCGCTTACAAATTCTCATTGGATGATACAGACCTTCCAGTTGCTGGGAAACACATCTTTTCTCATCAAAAGGCTGCTAGGTAACCACGTAGTCAAATACCCTCACCATTATTATTTACTGAATTTCTTTGAACCTGTGGCACTACACTGTGTACTTTTATTCATTTATAAATGATGCTCTGACCTACTTAATAGAAATGATTCCTGTTTGGGGGACTGTATACCATAGAAACGAAAGCTTTAGTGTACAAGGATATGTGTATTCCCAGCTGCAAACAGTCCGAATGCCCTTCAACACAGGAATGGCTGAATAAATTGTGGTATCTTCATCCCTTAGAATATTAGGTAGCTAAACAAATGAGTTAGAAGAGTTGACCAGGCATCGTTTAATGAAAAAAACAGGAGGAAGAGACATGTATGTTATATGTTTTCATATATGTAGGACAAAAGTAAAACCTTCCTGTTCCCTCCCCTGAATGATTAAAGAGGAAAGAGATGGGTAAGGGTGTACACCAAACCCTCACTGGTTTCCTACTGGGAAGGATAAGAGGGAGAAAAGTAAGTAAGAAACAAGTGAATCAGATGCAAACTAGAAAAACCTGCTGATGTTATCAACAGAAAAGGTGGAATATAACATTTGTAGCACATTGCTGACAATTCTTTTTTTTTTTTTTTTTTTTTTTTTTTTTTTGGTACCTGAGATCAAACTCCGGTCCTTGTGCTTGAGAGGCAGGTGGTGGAACCACTGAGCTAAATCCCCAGCCCTGTAGCACATTGCTATAAATCCAGAAAACAGAATATTGATAGGATCTAAACACAGAGAACCTTCAGTATCCATGGGGGATTGGTTTTAAAGCCTATTTTCCACTGCCTCGATCAGTTTCCCCTCCGTGGATATTAAAATCCCAAGAGGTTCAAATTCTCTTCTGTGAAGTTGGATAGTATTTACATATAATCTACACACATCCTCCTGTATACTTCAAACCATCCCTAGATTACTCTTACAATATCTATACAATATAAATACTTATAAATAGTCGTTGCACTATTCTGTTCAGAGAATTATGCTGAGAAAAAAAAATCTCTACTTGTTCAATACAGATGCAATGTTTTAAAAATGTTCCAGCTGAATTGGTTAAATCTCCAGATGTAGAACTCATAGATAGAGAAAGCCAACTATTTAAGACAGGCAAAAAAGGTATTGATTTGATTTGTGGGTAAGAGTGTAGACTTTTTTCTTGATTACTATTATTTTAATACAAAGACAACAATATATTTGAACAAAAATAGGTTTATTTTAAAATGGATTTATTATATATATATAAAACTATTTTCTAATGATAAAATTCTTGGTAGAATTATTTTGTCTCCCATTGAAATGGACAACTGAAATGAATAGACACTTCTCAGAAGAAATATAAACAGCTGATAAATACATGAAGAAATGTTCAGCATCATTG